TTTCGTCGCCGGCCAGCCGATACATGCCGCGCATTAAGTGGGGCTGTCTGTCAATGAATCCCCGGGCCACTTTTAACCCCCCAGTCCGCCCCTGGTTGGACTCTGTCTCACAGGCAGGTTGCAGTGTAACATCAGAGGAGACTGGGCCAATTGTACATTCTCAAACTGCACCACTTAGAACTAACTAAACAATGCAGAGATTATTTTTATATAATTGTATTCAATAACCGTAAGAAATTAAACAGTATGAAGTGATTTGTAAATAGGAATACAGATTTGACTTAATGTTTTCATAAATATATTTTTCTCCCAGCTTGTCATGGGACTTATTTTTACCCTCTCAAAGAACCGGAATCGAGAACCGAAAATAACTGGAATCGAAAAGCAGAACCGGAATCGTTAAAATCCAAACGATACCCAACCCTATGTGTGATGCAGTAAAATCTTACCGCTCACTTATGTTACCGGTGTCGTAAAAACCGTGGGAAAATGTAAAATACGATGGCAAAGAAGAAGATTCCAGTGGCCCCAATTTGTGTCCATTCTGGACAAGTGAAAAATGTATTCGGACAAGTAAATTGCCAAACTCACTTGTCCATGGACAAGTACTCTCTAGAAACTTTTTCTCACACTGAGGATAAAGGCTTAAAAACACAGACAGCATGTTTGATTGTCCAGTAACCGCTGGTTTACAGATTTAAAAAAAGAAGGGATGTTTGGTCCTTAATTGTGTGGGTCCAGTGTTCTGGGTATGTGCTGCCCAATAGGAAAAGGCTGACGAGTGGATGTGTGTGTACAGGTTCGTATAGTGGCGGGGCGTCCCATGCACTGCCAGGTCCCTGGGATAGAATACACCATGGGGAAGAGGGCAGTGCAGACCATGCTGGAGGGGGCCACAGCCGTCGCCCTGTCCTACAGCGGGGTCCTCTACATCGCAGAGACGGACGAGAAGAAAATCCACCGCATCCGACAGGTAACCTTGACGACATGTACTCCTGAAGCTAGAGTAACAATTGTGATCACTTTAAATGCCAAGTCATTGTAAGTTAACAGAGATCTCAGAATGAGCCGCACGTGTCAGATGAAGATGAGGAAGATTAACTGGATGCTCTCAGTGGCTCCTGAATGTATCATTCTGTCTTTCCCCTGCTAGGTGTCGACTGATGGGGAAATAACCCAGCTAGCTGGAGAGCCTTCTGACTGTGACTGCAAGGTACTGTACAACAGCAACCTAATTTACGACAGCCCTCCATTGTCTTCTTTTTGATATCCTATTGTTAACCTGCTTATTATAGAAGAGCTGATTTCCTCCCTCCCTCCCTCTCCCTCCCTCCCTCTTCATCCTGCAGAACGATGCCAACTGTGACTGCTATCAAACAGGAGACGGCTATGCTAAAGACGCGAGGCTGAACTGTCCTGCGTCTTTAGTGGTATCTCCGGATGGGACGCTGTATGTGGCTGATCTGGGAAACATCCGGATTCGAGCCATACGCTGCAACCAACCCCCCACTGGTGTGTATATAGCACACACACGCACAGTGGACATACTGCTGTTGCTACAGTACATATCTGTATGTGTGGAAAGAAGGGACTCATTTTTTTTAAAAGAAATGTTTTTATATATACCAAGACCACTTTCCCAGCTTCTGTCTCACAAACATTGGCCATGATGGATTCAAATGGTTACATGAATGTGGAACACGTGGACACATGTCTTCAGAAGGGACTGCACACCACCCACTAATGCTGGGCCTTAGCTACAGTGTGATGTGGGTTTGAACAGTGGCTCTGCAGGCCTGGCATGGTGGACTCATGAAGAGTCTGAGCTTTGAAGAGATCAGCAGCTTCAGCAGTGTGCTCCGTCACAGGCTAAACCACACCGTGTACAACAACATGCTTTAGACTCTGATGGCTGGTCAGCACAACTGTCCAACACATTCCCCTTATCCATAGACAGTGATTATAACATTACACATTACATTTAATTTAGCTGAAGATTTTATCCAAAGCAATTTACAATACATTTTAAAGTGCAATCAACCACGAGGATACAAACATTACAAATATATTAGCTAGCTATAAGTGAAACTGTTGTTAATGTGACATACAGAGGTGAGATTTGTATATATATATATATATATATATATATTGCATAAGTCCAGCAGAAGTAAGAGTGTTTTCAGTCTGTGACGGCAGACATGTAGACATTGTGGAGCCAAGATAGCAAACAGGTGTTTCTGTTTAGTGGTAGCTGGGTCTCATTCACAGTGAGGGAGTCATGTGATCAAACTAAATCCTGAATATAATTGTTCTGTATAAACTTTCCTCTATGGCAGGGGTGGGGAACCTTTTTTCTATCAAGGGCCATTTCAATTAGTACAACATCCTCCGAGGGCCGTATACAAATTATTGAACTCAACCTCTGCTAAAAAAAAAAATAATTTCACAGCAACCTCTTAACCCAGATATCTTTCAGTTTTATTTTCAATGTTTTTATGTTATGCTTTGGAGATTGTTGGGGGGGCGCCAGGCCTCAGATGATTTGAGGCCAAATATCATATTTAGACTTTTTTTTTTTACATACTGTATAATTGTAACGCAATACATGATTGTCTCTAAAAGCCTTGTCTCTACATTACAATAAAATATAAAAAATAATTGATTAATTAATTTTAATAAAAATTCAAGTTAGTAGTTAATATAGGCATAAAAAGACAGAAATGTATAATTCTTTCTTTAATAGAAATGTTTCTTCTGCCCGTAAAGTGCCCAAACCAGGCTTTTCTGGATAAGCACATTTTTAAAACATAGTCATTGTCCATGCCAGTTTCAGTTGGATTATTTGTCACAGTTGCTCCGATCAGATCGGTCTCCTCCATTTTGTAGATTATTTACGACTTTTGAATCCACATAAACACATCGGCAAAATCCGGCTTACTTTGAGCATGTGTTTTAAACAGTTTAATCCCTTTGTGAATTGTTTCCACTTGCGCCGTCCTTTAATTTCTTCATACAGCAGGAATCCAAATGAATTAATCCTGAGTCCAACAACCATCAAAGTCACTCCAACAGTGCTCCTTAATTACACTTTCATCCTCCTTTAACAAAATACTTAACAGTTTGTGACAGTAGTTGTAGCATTTTTGAGACTTTAAACTTTAATTACCGCTGTTGCCCCCCCTC